TTTGAAACAATAAAACACAACTATTATGCACTGAGTTTTTAAAAGTAAGACACTGAGTGTAAAATATCAGATGAAGAGTATGTGCAACAATCTGTGGTAGGACATTTTTTTTTAATGTGAAAGTTAATTTTGTATGATTTTATGTTCTGAGTGAGCAACTGGTAAACTTTTTCTTACAAGTCCAGACAGTAATAATTTTAGGCTCTATGGGGCATACAGACTCTATTGTAACTACTCAACTGTGCTATTGCATAAAAGCAGCCACAGAGATTATATAAGCAAATGGACAAGGCTTTGTTCCAATAAAACTTTATTTATAAAAACAGGCAGCCTGTTCAGAGGCCATAGCTTGCCAATCTCCCACTAGATACTTGCAAAGGACTTGAGTGCATTACTTCACTTAATTCTCACAGCAAATCTATCAGGTGGGTAGTGTCACCCCCATTTTGCAGCTGAAGACTGTGGGCTCAAGGGGTGATGTGATCTGCCTGTGACTGAAGTCAACGCCTGGAGCCGGGGTCTAAACTCAGCCCCAAATCCAGAGCCTGAGCCATTACACAGTTCAAAAAATTTGTTCTAGATCACAGTGGCTTGGTTAAAGGGACAGGGCTTGAAAATTGTTAGTGCAGCTGTTTTTATTATTGAAAGGTAGAAGAATGGACCTTTATTTGGGATGGCCAACTCAGAAACAGGACATCTTCCGACTCTGGAAGAAAACACGAGAATAGAGATGGTTTGATAAAACTAAAAGACATAACTAGGAGAGAGAAAAAAAGTCTATTATAGTTAAAAAACAAATCTGCAGGATTTCTTGTTTGACAAGAAATTCTTGTCATGGAAACCAAAAAATCAAATGTATAAAGGGAAAACATGAGAAAGAGGTAGGTGACACTGCTGTTCCAAACACATGGAACGACTTTAGCTTCACAGGGACTGCAGGAGATGGACACAAATGATCAGCGAGAAGTAACCTGCCCGTGTAATATCCTTTTATTTTTTTTTGCCCTCTCATCTCTTATTTTCTGTTCCTACCATCTCAGCTGCTCGCTCAGATGGACATACATAGATCTGAAAACAGAGCTGCTCCTGTTGTTTCCTGTATTACTGCCTAAAGTTCAATTTCAAGCATTTCCCACACCCTACCACCACCTCACTTTCTCAAATCTACTTCAAAAGTTCCTCACTCAACCCCATCAGGAATCCAACTTTCAGTGGGGTTGCACTTCTTGTATTCTCACTTCCTCAGTGAGGATTCCATGGCTCAGGGCCACCTGTCACACCAGGGCCTGGTCCATCAACACCTTTGCTGATCTCTGTCACCTGGTAGCTGGAACTCTGATTAAACCCAGTTCTCTGCCCACTCTATACCCGCATCCAGGCAGCTGAAGGCAGCAGGAAAAACAAAAGGTTGGTGCTTAGTAATCTCACTTGAACTCTACCTTGAAAAAGACCCTGCCCTGCACTGCCCTCGTTAACCTGCTTTCCAGGTCTCTGAGCTGATCATCATTTCCTTTTGGTCAAGGCTACCAATACCCTCCCTCTTGCTAAATTTTATGGTTAGTTCCCAGTTCTCATCTGATTCCATTACTAAGTAGCATTTGACTCAGTTGTTCATTCCTCTTTGAAACTTGCTTTTTAGACACTATATGCTCCTGGCTGCCCTTCTACCTCACTATTATCCCTTTCAATCTCCTCTTCCAGACCTCTAAATGCCAGGGCATTCCAGGGCTCAATCCACAACTTCCTCTCTTTTCTGTCTAGTCTCTAGGTTAGAGTTTCTCAGCCCTGGCACTACTGACATTTTGGGTTGGATAATTCCTTGTTGGGGGGTGGCTGTCCTGTGCACTGTAGAATTTTTAGCAGCATCACTGGCCCTACCCACTAGATGCTAGTAATGTCCTCCACCCTACAGTCGTGACAATCAAAACGGTGTACAGATATTGCCAATGTTTCCTGAGGGACAAAAATCACTCCTGGTTGAAAACCACTGGTGTAGGTAAACTCAACTAGACCTATGGCTTTAAATGTCTTCCAGAAGATGATGAGCCTTAATGTACATATTCCAAGGCTATATCTTTCTCCAAGCTCCAGACCTGTATATCCAACTGTCTTCTTGGTATCTCTACTTGGAGACAAGCACTGAGATACTGAAGACGGTATTTACTTATTGTCTGCTTCTCCTACTAGACTGTCATTTCCATGCAACCAAGGACTCAGTTTTCACTATTCACCCCCCAGTGCCTAGATCACTGTTGGGCACATAGTAGGCACTCAGACTATAATGTACTGGTTAAAAAATTAAACACTTAATGCACGTGAATTCATTTCATGCCCCAGTTTCGATGGGGCAATCAGGAAGATAATTTTAAATATATCAAAGCATCTTTTAAGGACACATTTTATTTAATGTAAGGTTAAAAAGAATGCTTCATTTTAAAACAAATGTGTAAATAGTATTAGTATTATGCATTAAATTTATTTAGTTAAAATTCTGCTACAGTTGGAGAAGAAAACTAGAACTAGTAGTATTCTTTCAATACTTTTGCTCTACTCCATATTCTTAATTTCAATTTGGACTTGTAATATATACATATGTATATTTATTGTAAATAATAATTGTGTCTTTTGACTATCACGATGCCAGACAGCTATCAATTCTTAATAGCAAGTGGTTTCTTCCATATTTTATCCTTCTGTTTTAATTTATCCTATATTTAAAGTAGAGGGTAAACATTTTCTAAGGAGGTTTGATATTTTTCTTTTAAAAATTGCTTCCTGGATAACAGCTACATTTATGAGTAAACAGTACTGTTTTTCATTTTTTTTCTCCTTTTCCGGGGGAAGTAATAACCAAAATCCAATTTTTTACCCTGTTTAGTTCTAACATAGACACTATAATTCCATCTACTTTTAAAGAAGACCATAACTTCCAACATTTATTTTTGGCAAGTTAGTTATCAGGACGACTTTTCCATAACTTTCCTCAGTTTATTTATTTACTTGGTGTTTTTATTCACTAAGCATGAAAACGTCTGTGTATTTCCTTATGTAAATTTCCTGATATTCCTATAACAATCCTTTTTTGAATAGAACTGAATAATGTCTTAATGATTCATGCAAACTGGAGGTGATGGCATCTTAAAACTTTATAAGTAATAGACTGGAAATATTAAACATTTATGTTTGCACAGCATGGAACTCAACCCAAATCCAATTAGCTCTGTAGATGTTATAAGCTCACATTTCAGACACTTATCTGTGCCTTTGAACTCTTAAATGACATCTCTATTAAACACACTTTAATGAATACACTCAGTCATGGTATTTTGTTTAAAAAAAGAGACAAAAGAACAAAGAACTCTATCAAAATGTATGAGTATCAGTATTATCCTTTCAATCACTGCTGATTTAATACAAATTCATCAAAAAAGCTGCTAAAGACATCTTTTAAAAATACTGTACATGAACAATATGTGCCAAAAGATGAGATGCTAAGATTTAATACTAGAGAAAATCTTAAAAATCATAAAAAATTTTATTCTTGATTTCTTATTATTTAGTAGCAAATGAAATGTTTTTAGAAAAGAGTTTAGAAAAGTATTAACTTTCCTTTCTAAACAACTGTTTCATTTAGATAATTCTAAGTGCAAGTTTTACAGAGAGATTTAAACCATCTCAAGACACCAGTGGAACAGGATTTGATTAACTTCTGACCAATGAATCTTGGTAAGTTTGAAAATGAAAAACCTGTTCTCATAAATTTTCAATGTAAAAGAATGCAAGTCATCTTAACTCATAAGCTGAGGCCACTGAAAGAGTTAAAAATTATATTTTTGTACATAACTTTGTAAGGATTTTACAAAATATGAAATCTCATCCATCTTAATAATAAAATGAAAAGAGAGTAAGACCATAGCAGCTGTATTTTAGAACTGGAAGAAGAAATGATTTGGCTTAGCCAATAAAATGGGCAGAACCATTTCTCCAATAAGGAAGCTGTCTTGGGAATTTGCTGCCTTTCCTGAAGAGCGTGGGTGGAATGACTCACCCATAAAGGAACTGTTTCAATTCTTGGGCCAAGAGATCATGCAGTTTGTTTTGCACATGAAGTATATTTCTAAGAAACAGGACTCTCGACCCCTAAATCTTGAAATGTTCAGAGGACGTGACTTAGTTGGACTCTCTGGGCTGAACGGAAGTTAAACAGAAAATCCTTTCAATGTGAACACTTTCTGAAATGTTTTAGTGAGTGTTGCTGAAGAAAATGCAGTGGATTTGCAAGCAGTAAGATTGGACCCAGTTGGTGGCTTACTTCTCTGGTCAGTCCCTCTTCAACAGCAAGTCTAGTCAAAGGAGCTTGTTCAACACACAGAAGGGGACTGGATTGTCCATTTAAGAATGCAGAACAAATGAAGCACAGCAAACACGATTTAGCTTTTCTCTGGGCACATTCTATACACTGTTTTTGTCTACATATAGAGAAATACACAGTCCACAAAGAATGAATATATGCTGATTTCAAGCATGCTCTAGAAGCCTTTACCTTCCTTCATTCCTCCCTCCTTCCCCTCCCTTCTTTCCTTCCTTCCTCTCTTTCTTTCTCTCTTCTTTTTTTTCTTTTTTTAAAATAAGTCTTTGGTTTGGTATTAGTTTCATCATATCCCTTTTGCTCCCAAAAGTCAAGCATCACAGAAGATCTGGCCAAACAACTGTTACCTATTAGGGAATGAAGTCCAATTTTTTAAAAAATCTTTTATCTGCCTTAACAGCTATAGTTTTGAACCCAGTTTTAAATTCTAACAAAAGGCAGTGCTAATAAATATAGCATGCCGTCAGGGAGTCCAGTCATCTACAATACACGCACTTTTTGGCCACTGCCACTAACCCATTAAGACGATGAAACTTGCCTTGGAGGCACGGATGAACACTTACTGTGGACACGCAGACTTGAAAGTAAAATTATTTTAGTGAGGATAAACATTTGGTTCTTTAAGAGCTACCTTCACATTGAATGTTATTTCCTCCATGACGTACACGCGTTCAGGAAATGCCTTTGCCACCTCCTCCACACTGTTGAAATATTGCACTGGCTCCTTTATATCTCGGTCTTGTTCCAGCAGCTTGAATTGCCCTAAAACACATGATAAACGGAAGAGATGTGAGATGTTTACGTTGGACAGCTGTCACCATGGCAACAGCATCCTCTTTCTTTACTCCAATCCTTTTTTGTCAAAGGTTCCTGTTCGTCATCATTTAAAAAAAAAAAAAAAAGTTATCACGGCAGGTTTCATTAAACTAGAATATATATACACGTATATATTATAAAATAAGCTTAAAAATGAAAACACAAACATACTTTTTTTTTTCTTTTGTTCACAGAGTTTATTATCAGAGGTCCAAAATCAAACTGAATGGATGCTTGTCATTTGATCTCAAAGTGGAAAGTTATTCTGTTATAAATGGTTGCTCATTTTGCTTTTAACACTAAGTTACCTTGTCATTTGGTTATAACAACACCCACACATATTACATTCTAAAACGGAGGCTTAGGAGCCTGGGGGAACTAACTTTTAAGATTTAGTATTTAAAATTTTTGCAAAGAGAACACAATAATATAGTGGACCCTTGGCTTTCACAGAATGGACATTCCTGGTTTCAACAATACCTGGGCAATGTCACGGGCTCAGGAACTGCTCTAAAGGTGTGATGTTGCCAGGGCACAAGCTCATGAGCTGCTGTAACATGTGAAGCAGCAGCAGAGAGGCTGGGCTGGGAGGTGAGCCTCCTTTCAACGGCTGAGCCCCGCCAGCGGCTTCTTTCTTTCCTTTTCATTGTTGTGTATGACATTCATGTAAGCAGACTGTATTATCAGAGCACTCACAATTTGGGGGAGTTGCGAAGAATAAAACATATTCCTAAAAATGTCAAGATCTATCATGCTGTTTATACATTTTCAATATCTGTGACACTGCTACTACATACTAGAGGGGTTGTTGTCAGTTCAGACTAAAAGACCATACGTAATCAAGTCAAGGACACAGTGCTTCTTAGTAGTTGTTTTTCTGAACCCTCTTTACAGGATAATTAATACTTGAGAAACTTAAAAAGGAATTAAAAACTATCACGAGGCTGATCTCTCAGGCAGAAAACAGGAAAACTTTTATTCATATGCTTAACATTTTTTTTTTTTTACCATCTAATAGTACCTAGTGGTAGAGGTACTATTCTAGATGCTGGAGATGTATCAACAGAATGAACAAAAATCTCTGTCCTCCCAAAGCTTACATTCCAGGGGGAGATGGATAATAAATACAATACATGAGTAAGTGTGTAATGTCAGAAGGTGAGAAGTGCTATTAGAAACAGGGCAGGGTGAGCGGGATGGACAGTGCAAGGGACCAGAGTCGTATTGCTGAGAAGGTGACCTTTGGTGTCGGTGGCTGGGGGTGGAGGTCTCACAATCTAAACCTAGGCAACAGCTTGTACAAAAACCCTCCGGAGGGTGGGTGCCTGCCTGGCAAACTGCCAGTGTGTTTGCAGTGGGGGAAGAGGGAAGAGGAAGAAAGAGTGGTAACAGGTGGTCAGATTGTGTATGGCTTTTAAAGAATTAGAGCTCTCCACCTGAGAGGAATGGATGTAAGTGGAGAAGAGGTGGCGTAACCAATGCCACAGAAGGATCCCTCTGACTGCCGGGTCGTGAAGAGTTGGAAAGTGCAAGGTGTAGAGGCAGAGACGCCAGGTAGGAGGCTCCTCCAGGAATTCAGGTAGGAGGTGGCAGGGGTTGGGAAGTGGCGAGAAAACGTTAGGAATCTGGCCTGAGCAACCGAAGGAACGGAACTGCCATTGAGAGACACAGGGCAGGTTTGGAGGGGTGGAGGGAGGACCAGGAGTTCAGGCTGGACAGGTTAAGTCTGAGATAGCCACTGGACATGCAAACGGAGCTATCCAAAAAGTTCTTGGATGAACATGTAAGTGTGGAGGTCAGGAGAGAAGCCTGGCTGGACGTGATAGATCTGAGAGTCACCACCACACAGATGCTATTTAAAGCCACGGCACTTTGATGATGATGACCTCAGGCTTGAGTGTCAACAGAGGTGAGGTCTAAGTCGGAGCCCTGGGAGGCTGAGAAGGAATGGCAAGGGGAGTGAGAGGAACACCAAGAGCAGGTGCGTCCCAGAAGCCAGGTGGTTTGACTCCTCCCAGGAGGAGGGAGGGGTGGCAAATACTGCCATCAGGGCAGTGACATGAGGACTGAGAACTATGAAATTCAGCAACTTGTAATTTAAGTGGGGACTTTGAGCTAGGCTAAAAACCTGAATCAACTGGATTCAAGAGAGACAGAGAAGAGAGAAACTGGAAATAATAAGAATGGATACAGGTGATGTTTGGGGAGTGTTGCTATGAAACAGGGAAGAAGAGAGGTGGAACAATGGCTAACAAGAGGCAATAGAAGTGGGAACTAGGGAGTGTTGCCATTTCCCTTACTGTGATGGGAGAAGTAACAGCATACTCAGATGATGACGGGAATGCCCAGCAGAGAGGGACAAGCTAACGATCGGAGAACTGACTGGCACATAGGAAGTTCATCTCCATCTATAAGAGACACCACAGCACGAGCTGGGGGAAGCTCCCATTTATTGCTCCAATTTTTCCAGCCAAAGTTGGAAGGCATGCATCAGGTGAGAATAAGATTGAAAGAGGAGGGTGGAGGGTTAAGAGGTGAAGGTTGTAAAAAAAAAAAAAAGTCAAAAGAGAGTGAGTAACATAATGTGATTACTGGGCAGCATTAAATTCCCACATGAGGTTCATGGTCATGGATTAAAAGTAAAACCACATGGGTGGAACTGGAGAACATTATGTTAAGTGAAATAAGCCAAGTACAGAAAGACATATCTCGCATGTTCACACTCGTGTGGGAGCTAAATACTAAAAACAATTGATCTCATGGAGACAGAGTGAAATGATGGTTGCCAGAGACTGAGAAGGGGAAGGGCAGTGGGGAGGGCGGATAAAGTGGGGATGGTGGATAAAGTGGGGATGGTTAATGGGTGCACAAATATAGTCAGATAATTAGAATGAATAATATTTGATAGCACAACAAAGTGTCTGTAATCAACAAGTTAGGGTAGACTTTAAAATAACTAAAAAGGCTGGGCACAGTAGCTCACACCTGTAATCCTAGCACTCTGGGAAGCCGAGGTGGGAGGATCGCTCAAGGTCAGGAGTTTGAAACCAGCCTGAGCAAGAGTGAGACCCCCGTCTCTACTAAAAATAGAAAGAAATTAATTGGCCAACTAAAAATATATAGAAAAATTAGCCGGGCATGGTGGCGCATGCCTGGAGTCCCATGAGGCAGGAGGATTGCTTGAGCCCAGGAGTTTGAGGTTGCTGTGAGCTAGGCTGATGCCACGGCACTCTAGCCTGGGCAACAGAGTGAGACTCTGTCTCTAAATAAATAAATAAATACATAAAACAAACAAACAAAAATAAATAAATAAATAAGTGGAATTGGAATGTTCCTAACACAAAGAAATGTTAAATGCCTGAGATGATAGATACACTAATTACCCTGATTTGATTAGGATTGTATACCTGTATCAAAACATCACATGTACCCTATAAAGATACACAGCTATTATGTACCCAGATTGATTCTTAATAAAAAAATTTAAAAATCCCCCAAAGTGAAACCAGAGAGTGGGGTTGTACCTTTGTCCAGCCCAGGTCACACACCCAGGGGCTGGCACGAGGTAGGCAGAGATCTGGATTCAGCCAGGGCTGAAACTTCCAGGTGAGTATGAGGAGCACGAAGGGCAATGAAGCCGGCACGTAGGCAAGGCAGTGAACATGCCACCCGGCCACGGACCCTGAACTGCATAAAGACAGACACAAGATCTTGGGTGAGAGGGAAGAAGGGCAGTGAAAAAAGTAGTGGGATCAATGTATGGTGGGCTCTGATGCGGTTGATTTTTGGAGCCTGGAGGGAGGGAGCTCAAAAGCCAAGCAGGCGGGTGAGGTCAGTGCACGCACCTGAGACAACGCAGGGACGCAGCTGTGGGTGATGAGGTGGTCTAGGGGGTGACCGTTGGCGCTGAAGGTGGAGGTGGTGAGTGGCTGTAGGAACTGAGAAGCCAGGGGTGTTAGAAGGATTATATCCCCAAGAAAATGCCCACGCATGGGGAAAGGCGCATTGCTGGAGAGAATACCAGAGAGCCAGGAGCTACAATCATGGAGCCACGAGGCAGGAATCCTAGGCTTGGCAGGTAACTGACAACACGCAGAGGCTGATACTGTCTGATGACAAGACGTTTAGAGCTGAAAGTCTTTAGGGAAGAGAGAAGTGGAATGGTAATGGTGATGATGAAGAAAAAAGAGAGCACTTAGACCCCTCTAATTTGGGGCAAAAATAGAGCTGTCACCTGAGGGAGCTTCAGGGGAGACAGTACTCTTGTAGCATATCCATGTTTGGGTTTAACAAGATAAAAGTAATTTCAGAGAAGAGGTTAAGGATATAGGGGTTTTACTGGTGATGGACCATGATGGGGGGGGGGTGTTTCAGGAGTTAAGGGGTAGGTGATAAGGACAAGACAGAGGATGCACCTAGACATGATAAAACAGCTCATATACCAGGTAGGAATATTTAGGGATAGGAATAATATATTTGAAAATACTGTAAGAATGTTAGATTATATGCTTTTCAGAAAAAGGAACAGAACTGGTTTTTTTAGAGGCAGGGTCATGCCTGTCACCCAGGCTATAATGCAGCGATGGGATCATAGCTCACTGCAGCCTTGAACTCCTGTGCTCAAGTGATCCTCCTACCTCAGCTTCCCCAGTAGCTGGGACCACAGGCATGAGCCACCATGCCCAGCTAATTTTTCCTTATTTTTTGTAGAGATGGGGGCCTCACTATATTGCCCAGGCTGGTCTTGAACTCATGTCCTCAAGCAATCGATCCTCTTGCCAGAACTTCCCACAGCATGGAGATTATAGGCGTGACCCACCACACTTGGCTGAATAACAAAATTTTTTTAAAAGCCGAAAAGATTATGGCGACTTCAAAATAATACCCAAATTCTGTCACCACAGCAAATTAAACTTTGTTTCTATTCTTACCTAGTCCATGTACAA